TTTATGTCAGAACCGATACCGGTACCCATCCCTATTGTTTAAGCACTGCTTCCAGCCAAGAGTGATACCATATTTGCCCCATAGCTGCAGAAAAGGCTAACATTGTTGTTTTTTTACAAAACAACAGCTGAACATGAGGTTTTTGGACAAAGTGTGTGTTCTCCATTCTTTAAGCACTGGTTCGAGCACCGTTTAAGCACCGGCACCATTTCAAAAGTACCGGTTTGGTACTGGTATCGGATCAAACTTAAACAATACCCATCCCTATGTGCGACCAATATCCGATCACGGTGTGACAGTGTGAACGGCGCGAATCCAAGATCTTCAAATCTAATCTGGGTCACTCTCGTATGTGGCACTGAATCCGATACGTATCTGTTTCAGAAAGCGACTGCTGTTGGATTTAGTGTGACATGACCATCAGTCTTTTACGTCACTGACACAAGACAGATGCTGATTATCAGCGCCGGAGAAGACATGGCAAACGCTTCCTGACCATCCTGTGAAACTGTTGGGAAGACAATGTTGGAGAAACGTGAACATTTTATTTGTACTGTATAATCTGCAGCTGTCCTTTGAAGCACCGCTCCTCTAAAACAGCAATCAGGATCATTATTAGGCCAAATGTAAATAATAAAATAACTTTATAACTTAAAGCAAAATTGGGAAACGTAAAGTCCGAAACAGTCAAACATCCTGTTGCTCTGGGTCTAAACAGAGCGCGTTGTGTGACGTCTTCTTTTGTGCATGCGGCTGCTTTGAGCGTTCACACTAGAGCGCGTTTGCTGTCGCATTTTATTTGTAGAGTGAACGAGCAGACAAAAACATCTGATTTGATCCAAAAATTGGAATTGAGCTTTAAGACCTGCAGAGTGAACGTAGGCTAAGTGCACATTGATACCAGCTGGCTCAGGCCCAACCAGAGGCCTATAAAAAGTTTCACCCTGAAACCTCTCATGATGTCATGATGTGACCTCTGTTGGCACTGGTTCCAGAAGCTTTACTGGACTACTGAAGGTTCCAGTGAGCTCTGTTAATAATAATCCAGAAGTGGGAAAGACATCATTTCACTGTAAACCAGGTGCTTCCTGCAAGGTTTCAGACGCAGACGAGTGAGACGACTTATCAGCAGGTACAGTTGCTTCAAAGTAAACGATAAGTAATGCACCCGTATGCACGCTCACCACGCAAGACTTCATACCTGAAGCACAAACATAATGAGGTACATTTAAAGTTTGCTGAACAACATTTAGACAAGCCTGTGAAACACTGGGAGAGTAGAGTCTGGTCACATGAGACCAAAACTGACCTCTGGATGCCAGAATACACCCCATGTTTGGAGGTGAACGGCACTGCACCCCCAAAACACCAAATGATGGGGGGCTGTTTTTCAGCATACAGCACTGTGATTCAGATAATTAAAGGATGAGTGGAAAAATGTCCTGAGAGTCTTGATAAAAACCTGCTGCCACCTACCAGGATGATGAAGATGAAACGAGGGGACAGTGATGCCAAACACAGCCAACAAACTCGGTTAGTTTCAGAGAGACAAACCAAAGCTGCTAGAATGACCCGGAACCTTCTGGACTGTGTGGCAGCACGGCGCCTGTGTGCACGTCTTCATGTGTTCAATGCTTGATCCCGGTGTCACTTCTCATTATTACACGTACTTGGAAATGTGCAAAGAATCAAAGCGTAGCTGTTTTACACTGAACATAAAAATGAGCACATATATTGAAATGTGTGCTTTGAATGATTAGTTTTGTACAGCTTACGCTGTGGGAGATGGTTACAGCCACGCCAGTGTGAGACCTTTGATGCTGTTTCCATAGTAACCCTATAAGAAGACCGCCTTTGTTCTGGTGGCGGTGTTTTTGCTCGCACATGCAGACCCAGCAGAGGAAGCATGCATGTTTTTCATGTAGTTCAGGCTCAGTTTAATATGATGACCCAGCCTTGAACTGTGGTTTAGCAGTTAGTCCTCATGGTA